GATCTTTTGGTTAGAAGCCATAGCTCTTAACCACTACACCACCAGGGCAGCATGGCATAAAAGGGCACGCACCAGGCAAGGGATTTGAGGATGTGGGAGCCAGGCCTAGTTCCACCCTTACTACAATAGTTGTACAACCTGGGGCAAGATATTCAACAGCCTTGGCTTCCTTTTCTTTCTTTTTTTTTTAAAAAAAACTCCTTAAAAGTAGATAGTAACATCTACTTGTTCATTTCTCAAAGTTGTTGTTGTGGATCAAATATCATAATATATATGAAAGTGCTTTCCAAAATCAGGGTATAAAAACAATAAACTTTTGCATCATGGTTTTGCAGTGCTGCTAGAGCACGGTCTATGGGTTGCTGGTTCACAAGCTGTTACAGGTCCATCACAAGAGTAAGGAGCTTGGCTCAAAAGTAAATCAACTATGTCACTGTGAACTGTTTATTCAGCTGACTTTTTTTGGTGGTGGAAGTGGATGGGGGTTGCAAGACTTTCTCAATGAAGGCAGCAGTACATGGATTTGCATTCTGGACAAGCTCCTTATCCCACTGCAGACAGGTAACAGTCTACAGACTGGCTACTTTGGTCATCACTGTTACAAACCATTTTCACCTACATTCTCTTTTTTGAACTTCACTGGACTATGGAAGGTAAGTAAAACAAAAACCAAAAACAACCCCCAAAACCCAGTTGCTGCGGAGTCAGTTCTGATTCATGGTGACCCCAAGTGTGTCAAGTAGAACTGTGTTCCACAGGGTTTTCAATGGCTGAGTTTTTGGAAGTAGATTGCCAGGCATTTTTTCTGAGGCGCCTGTGGGTGGAGTTGAACCTCCAAAGTTTCGGTTAGCAGCTGAGCATGTTAACCATTTGCACCACTAATATTATTAATATTATGCCATTAAATGTTTTATCTGATGTCACTTATTAAGTGGAACAACAGGTAATCCAACTCTGGCCTTCTGACTCCAAATCCTAGGTTCTTTCAACTAGAGCAGTGCTTCTCAAATGCCAATGCATATACAAATCACCTGGGATCTTGTGAAAAAGCAGATTCTGATTCAGAAGGCCCAAGATTCAGCATTTCTAACAGGCTCCCAGGTAATGCTGCTGTCCGTAGACCATACTTTGAGTGGCACGGCCCTAAAGCAGTCAGGGCTAAGGGGAAGGCCAGGCCTAAGGGCCTCCTGGGCAGGACTTTCTGGGCCTATGCCCAGCCTAGGCCCATAGCAGATGGCTACCTAACATGTGATTTGTTGTAAGTCTCATGGTTTCTCCACCTTGGCCTGCATTCATCTGACTGAATATTCCCCCTGCCAGCCACGGTCCTACTGTGAAAACCAACACTTCTGATTCTGCCAGGATAAGGAGAAGGCAAGGGGAAAAGAAGAGGCTCAATACAGTAAAATCCCAGTTTTAGAGCATTGGAGGACAGTGGAAGGGACACCAGCGTCAGTCTGTAAAATAGATTTTATGGGTAAAGGAAAAGCTGTAGTTTACTCAAAGAAGTAAACTGAATAAAACATCATTCTCTTTGAAGACTCATGTAAATCATTCTAGTGTTCCTCCTTTTTAATTTTAATTACAAGAAAATATTAAATACCTCTTTGTC